CCAAAGAACTAAAAACAAAAGGAAAAAAGAAAAAAAAAGGGCAGTCCGTGTACTCGAGAACGTTCGCGCGCGCGTTAAGAAAAAAAAAAAAAAAAAGTTGCACACGTCCTTGCCCCCCCCCCCCTCCCCTGTGGTGGTTCCTCGGTTCTTTTTTTTATTTTTTCAATCGCAAATTTTTTTTGGAATTATTTTTTCCTACAGCTTCTAGAACCTTTTTTTTTAATTATCTTTTTTTTTTCTACAATTAAACATGGGCAAAAGCTGGATCCTTTTTTTTTTTTTTTTGGTGCAAAATCCTGACTCTATTATCTTAATCATCAGTTTCCGGTGGTGTGGTCCCACTAGCAAAGAGGATCGGATTGAGCACCTGAATCTGGACTTGGTTGAGGAAAGGTGCAGAATGTCGAGGTTGGACTGCTTGTCTGCATCTCTGCTTAAAACACGTCCAGATTCAGGAGCTTGATCCTATCCTCTTTGCTAGTGGGACCTCGCCCCCGGAGGTCTTTTTACTTTTTCCCTCTTTTTTTTTTTTTTTCACATCCAGAAAGTGGACAAGAGAGAAGAGAGAAGGGAGATGGAGGAGGGGATCGGTTGATTCATCATCTTTTTTTTCTTCTTCTTTTTTTTTTTTTTTTGTGTGTGTGTGTGTGCGCGGGTGTAATGGAGTTCAGGGTGATTCCTCCTCCTCCTCCTCCTCATCATCATCATCATCATCATCATCTCCTTTTCTTTTTTTGTTATCATCATTCCTCATCACCATGTCATCCACTCCCTCTTCTTTTTGCTTCTTTTTTACTTTTTTTTTGTTTTGTTTTGCACAGCCTCAGCCGCACAATCCGTTTGGTCAGGCATCACCTCTCCTTCTCCTCCTCCTCTTCCTCCTCCTCTTCCTCCTCCTCTTCTTCCTCCTCTTCTTCCTCCTCGTCCTATCTTCATCACTACTTTAGCATGGAGAGGAGGAGAAGAAGAGGAAGAAGAAGAGGAAGAAGAAGAGGAAGAAGAGGAGGAAGAAGAGGAGGATCACCATTGCCATCATCGCCACACTCCCTCCTCTCCTCCCCTTCCCCCTCCCCCCCCCAACCATACCACACAACATGATGATGATCATCATCATCGTCGTCTTCCTCGTTATCGTCCTTATCGTCAATCAACACGGTTATCATCATCATCATAATCATCATCATCATCATCATCACGGCATCATCAGTATCCCCTCAGTAATGGAACTCGTTCTCCCAGTTTCACTAATCTTGTCTTTCTTTTTTTCTTTTTTCTTCGTTTTTTTTTCTTTTCTTTTTTTGGTCCTCTCATCTTCTAGAATCATAAATCATAGAATTGTGAGGAATGTAAAAAAAATAATAATAATAACTATTATGTTAATTTAATAAACATATATAAGTTTCACTAACCTTACCTTTTTTTTCCGTCTTTTTTTGGGTCCTCCTAGCTTCTGAAAAGTTAAAAACCACATCATCTAGAATCATTGATCATGAATGTCAAATTACATAATAATTATGTTAAATAATTATTATGTTAAATAATAATTATGTTAAATAATAATTATGTTAAATAATAATCATGTCAAATACTAGGCTACCAGCCGGGCCGCCTGGGTCACCCTATTTTCCCGGGTGGTCCGGCCGTGACGGGACCAGGGAAGGTCCCAGCCAAAAATAAAATTAAAAAAATCCAAAAACTCCGAAAAAAACCTATGTTATGCAGAAAAATAAACTGAACAACTTTTGCCTCAGGGTTACATCGAAATTCTTCACCAAATCTAGAATACAAATTTTGATTTGATATATATATTTTTTATTATTTTTGGTCCGGCCGGGCAAATGGACCCGGGCCACTCTGGTAGCCTAGGTCATAAGTTGAAATATATGCCAAAATGCCCCTCAAAGATGTGGGTAGAGCGGAATGCCCTTTTGGGCCAAAACCTTTGTGTTATGCCCTTTTCAGGCCGGTGGGCAAATTCGCAATTTGGACCTCCCCGTTTGGGCCTTGGCCCTTTTGCGATCGGGCCTAGGAAAACTTGGCAAGTACCCGGTAGGGGCATTTTTGCAAAGATGGGGCTCCAATTGACGCCAGGGGTATTTCACCCAAAAAAAAAAATTGTCCGAGGGGGCATTCCGCTCTACCCACATCTTTCAGGGGCATTTTGGCATATATCTAAACTTCTGGGGGTACTCTGCAAATTATCCCAAGAAAAAAGAAAAAAAAAAAGGATTATAATGATGATGCTGTTCAAGATGGTCGAGATGATGATAACGATGATGGCTTTTCCTTTTTTTTTCTTCCTTTTTTTTTCCTTTTTTTTTCCTTTTCTTTTTTTCTTTTTTTTTCCCTTTTTTTTCCTTTTTTTTCCTTTTTTTTTTYCTTTTTTTTTCTTTGTTTTTTCGATGACGATCTAGGCACCCTGTTTTCTCGGGCGGCCCGGCCGTGCAACGACCAGGGCCGAGGTCCCACTAGCAAAACGGATACGATCGAGCTCCTGAATCTGGATGTGTTTTAAGCACAGATGCAGAAAGAAAAGCAGTTCAATCTCGATTTCCTGCACATCTCCATAAACTCGTCCAGATGCAGGCATTCGATCCGATCCTCTTTGCTAGTGGGACCACGCCCCAGGGGAGGGAACCTGCCCCCCCCAAAAAAAAAATCCGAAAAAAAAAACTTATGTTATGCAGAAAAAGAAACTAAACAACTTTTGCCTCAGGGTCACATCAAAATTCCTTACCAATTTTAAAAATAACATATAAATTCATAAAATAAATAAATAAATATTAAATAACAAATATATTTTGAATTTTTCTTTGGGCCCGGCCGGCCAAGTGGTCCTGGGCCACTCTGGCAGCCTAGATGATGATGGATTTTTTTTTTGTTGTCGTCATCCATTTACAAAAGTCTTACTCTCGTAAATGGATGGGATGGTGTAAAAGGTGAGGG